GCACTTAACCTGGAGAACAAGTCATTTTTGACCCAATTGCATGATTTTAGTTTGTTCAAGGATCTAATTGCATTCTTTTTTAGTTCGGTGGCCCAATTACATTTTGGTGTGTAGTTGAGTGGCCTATTTGACCTTTATTCCTTTACTATTTTAAATTTGTAGTATGTACCTCACATAAGTGTCATACTAATAATTATAATATTTGAACATACTTTGAATAAATTTTTAATTTTTTGTATATATTTAATTATTTATATCTTAAGTAATATTCAAATATTTATAAAATAAGTTTTGTTCTTAAAAATGTTATTTTGTAGACCATTTAAATACCACATAATAATCATTGCTGTTTTTATATATAATAAACTTTAATTTCTTAAACAACATCCAATTTCATTAAATGGTTGCAAAGGAGCATGAGTATTCATACTTTTCTAATTTTGAAATTTCACGTTGAAATTTTGAAATATCATTTATATTTTCTCATGAGAAAATAAAGAATCTTTTATTTATTGTATATAATTTGATTTTCTAATTTATATGGAATTGAATAAATGTCAATTTTTTCAAATTTCATGTGATATCTTTTTCTTTTTTTTTAGTACTACCCACTATGTTACAATGTAGTATTTGTTCATAACTATCTCATGTGGTATCTAATAACACAGTGTTTTATAATATATGTTAATAGTATGTGATAATGTTCAATATAAAATCCAATTTAGTATTGCTAAAGAAAAATACATTTCAAAATAAATTTTCACCATTAATGTATGATTTTATCATTTTTTTTAAAGAATTAATACCCAATATAGTCATCAACTATATGGGTTTTACTTAATTTAGTCTTAAATGACTTTTTGTGTTCAATTTAGTCATCGACTTTGATGATTTTACACAATTTAGTCCTTTGAAAAAATTTTGTTAGTTGACGGTTAGAAATAGTGTCCTAATGGTAATTTCTCATCCTTCATCCCATTTAGAATGATTCCTTCTTCTTCCCCTTATTAAGAGCCACGCATAAATGCAAATCTTCGAGGACTATATTAGGTATTAACTCTTTCTAAAAATATTATCAACAATAAAGTTACTTAAATTTTATAAGGTGCATCGCACGGGGGCAAATATATTGTTCCCACTTGGTTCTTCTGGCTTATCTTGAAATAACCACCCATTTTTACAACATATTTCTCGTGCATCGCACGGGAACAAATACTAGTTGTAGAATGCATATTATATTAAAAGTATAGTTGGCAATTTGAATAATCATTATGGTATGATTAATATTATTAAAGTAAGAATTTTAGATATGATAAATTATTAAATAAAATTATGAATTGTTATGAAATCAAACTTATTTCGTTGTGAATTGTTATGGAATATAGAATATATATTTGATATATAGAATCTCTATAGATTAGGCAGTCTTAGGAATTTAGGAAGGTAGGGTATATGGAAACTTGTTTCTTATTCGTAGTCTTTTAGTACCCCTATTTATAGGGCTTTGTATTCTCTATTCAATATGATAGTTTGAGATAATATACGACAGCACATTAGAAACTCTCTCTTCACTTTCGTAACATGGTATTAGAGCCTTTACGATAATTTTTTTCCCACTCCGTTGTCGTCACGTTGTGTTCATCCATTGTGTATGAGTATGAGTATCATTGTTCATCCATTTCGTTGGAGGGGGAGTATGAGTATCCAATCTCAAGCTTGTTCGGTCACTTTGTGTTCATCCATTGTTCATGGAAATCATGGCGTTCGAAGCTTTCGTTTCAAATGAGTGTCCTAAATGGACTTGAGTTATTTGTAATTTAGTTATTTTGGGTTATAACTCATTTGTGTAACAAGTTGGGCATTATTAAAATATATGCTCCAACTTGAAGGGGAGTGTTATGGAATATAGAATATATATTCGATATATAGAATCTCTATTGATTAGGCAGTCTTAGGAATTTAGGAAGGTAGAGCATATGGAAACTTGTTTCCTATTCGTAGTCTTTTAGTACCCCTATTTATAGGGCTTTGTATTCTCTATTCAATATGACAGTTTGAGATAATATACGACAGCACATTAGAAACTCTCTCTTCACTTTCGTAACATGAATAAATATATGTGGACATTACTATATGTATTATACTATGATAATACATCTTTATCCTTTGTAGTATTATTGTTATATTAGAACTCTGTATATCTTGTATATATTATACTGAAGGATGATTAATAAAAGATTGATGTTTCTCTCTGTACTAGTTTTGCACGGGCATTGCATGACTGATTTAATGCTCAATGTTTGTATTTATTTAAATATAAATAATTCAAAGTATATAAATGAAAAATTATATATATATATATATATATATATATATATATATATATATATATATATATATATATATATATATATATATATATAGGGAAGGGATCAGATGCATTTGTTGCTTCCCATGCGGATGTGCGGTGGATTAATGTGCGTGAGATTTATACTTAATGTGTGTAGACACAGAAAATTTGAAGCCGACAAGTGGACCGATTAAATCATTATCAAGCCCAATTTCAGGGTTAATCATTAGTCCAATTTAATTATTAATTGGGCTATGATAGTTAAATTAATTTAATTAGTCCAAGTAAATTTGATTTGGGCTATTGAATTAATTAATTAATTGGTCCAAGCCCATTTCATAAGTGAATTATAATTATAATTATAATTTAAATATAATATAATTTTATTATATTTGAATTAGATAATTATAATTTAATTTGAATTTGAATTAGATGATAGAATAATGAACCTAGACTTGATTTTGGCAATGTTCATTTTAGTAGATAATTAATTAATTTAATTAAATAAATATTAGTGGAGTTTGTTGAGGGATTTTAGTTACAAACTTCACTATAAATAGAGCCTCAATTCCATTCTTCAAATCACACCTTAAATACATTGAGAACAACTTGAAGACTTGAGAGCTTGAAGTCATTGAAGAACGCTTGACAACTTAAAAGCTTGAAGATTTGAGAGCTCTTTTGAAGGCATTTGAAGATCTTGAAGAATTAAAGGCATTGAAGGCATTTTTTGCAAGTTTTAAAGATCTTGAAGCAACTTGAAGCCTTTTTAGTTGATTGCTTCAGAGCTTGACGTTTGTTGTTGGAGATCACACCGTTTGAAACCCGGAAGCTACGCCGTTTAAATCCCGGAGACACGCGCTATTTGAATCCCGGAGGCTACGCTATTTGAATCCTGGAGGCACTTCAATAGATAACGGCATTGAAGAACGCTTGAAGATTTGAACGCATTTTTTGTTGATTTTGCAGGCAATTTGAATCCATTGCATGGCCGATTATTTCTAAATTCTTGACGCTCGTTGTTGGAAGCCACGCCACTTGAACCCCGGAAGCTACGTCGTTTGAATCCCGGAGGCACGTGCCATTTGAATCCCGGAGGCTACGCTATTTGAATCCCGGAGGCACTTCAGTAGACAACGTTAGTGAAGAATCAAAGGACTAGACAGAGATTTTGTACCTGCATTGAATTATACACACACTGTACAAGAAATTTTGTGAATATATATACAAAGTTTACATTTTTGTGTTTACACATTTTGGCACGCCCGGTGGGACAACTCTGCCTCTCATCTCTTCACTATCGATCTACATCAGCAAGCAACTCTACTAGCAATCGGAATGGCGTCAAGAAGCTCGATGTTCAAGAAGTCTTATGCCCAAGCCGCTAGTTCCAAGTCTTCATCAACAACTGGTTCTGAAGCTAGCCGAGAGACCGAAACACCATTAACCAGGAGCCGTGCAAAGAGCTTAGGAATGCGACCGCCGGAGCCTGAGTCAATTGTTCGACGTATGATTCAAAGACTCGAAACGGCCCCTACCGTCCCGAGAAAGTCTATTTATGTTGCAGGTCCACCATCTTCGAAAGGAGCAACCGATAGCGGGAAGCTGGCTTCTTCGAAAGGAGCAGCTGGCAGCGGGATGCTGACATCTTCGATAGAAGCGGCGAATAGCGAGAAGTCATCTACCTCAGAAGGAGCAGCTAATAGCGAGAAGTCGATTACCCCAAAAGGAGCAGCTGTTAGCGAGAGTCCAACATCTCCGAAAGAAGCAGCCGATAGCGGGAATCCAACATCTTTGAAAGGAGCTGATGATAGTAGGAGTCCAACATCCCCAAAAGGAAACGCTAACACTGGAGGCTCGTCATCGACATCGCCGTCGTCCAGCATGTGGAAGGTCGCTCCAGAATGGTCACGCATCTATACAGGCATGCCGGCTATGACAACAAGCGCGACAACTATAGAAGACCAGCTTGCGAGCATCACTAAGGCGCTTGAAGGGATCACCACCCTCCTTCAAAACCAAGAAAAGAGAATCAACGACTTAGCTAAAAAGGTCGAGAGCACAAGGAATGACGAAACTAGCCGGGCTCCTGGGAAGCAACCTGAGGTTCAAGGAGAAGATGCCTCGCACTCACCAACTTGCATTGGGCGAACTACAGTGCACGAGGAATCAACTTCGCACATACCAAGTTCGGACAGGAGCATTCCAGTCACAGGGGGCATGATACCTGTAGATCAGCTTAACGAGTTCATCATGGGAGCTATCAAAGGAAAGCTCGAGGGGGAAAAACCTTCATACACTTACACCAAGCCTTACACTCAAAGGATAGAGGATTTGAAGATGCCCATTGGATATCAACCTCCAGCATTTCAACAATTCGATGGGAAAGGCAATCCAAGACAACACATTGCCCACTTCGTGGAAACATGCAACGACGCAGGAACGTATGGAGATCTTCTTGTCAAGCAGTTCGTCCGCTCTTTGAAGGGTACTGCCTTCAATTGGTACACTGACTTGGAGCCTAGTTGCATTGATAGCTGGCAGGACATGGAGCGTGAGTTCTTGACCCGCTTCTATAGCACAAGAAGAACCGTCAGCTTCTTAGAACTCACCACCACTCGCCAAAGGAATGGTGAAAGCTCGACCGCTTACATTGAAAGATGGAGGGAGTTATGCTTGAATTGCAAGGAAAAGATATCACAGAGCTCCGCGATTGAAATGTGCATCCAAGGCATGCACTTCGAGCTCTCCTACATCCTCCAAGGGCTCAAGCCTAAGACTTTTGAGGAATTATCTAGTCCTGCCCACGATATGGAGTTAAGCATAACAGCTAATGGTGAACAAAACATACCCATTCAAAGCTTCTACAATGGGGGCAAGAGTCATGATGACGTTGAAAATGGCGACAAGGCCTTTAAGAAATATGAAAGCATGGACGCTATGCATGTGAATATTCAACCAACTAGAATATTCACTGAAGCTACTAATGAGTCTAAGGGTGCTTCTAGATCATTACGGGGTAGTAGAAGGCTTTCTTTCAGGGAAAGACAAAACAAGAAGTATCCATTCTTGGATTCTAATGTCCCACATATGTTTGATGAGCTATTGAAACACAATCTCGTTGATTTTCCAGAAATGAGGCGACCACACGAGGCATCAATGGTGGATCATTCGAGTTATTGCAAGTATCACAGACTTGTCGGACATCCAATTGAAAATTGCTTTGTCTTTAAGGATAAAGTAATGGAGTTAGCTCGAGATGGGAGAATTGAACTTGCAGATGCCACAGCAAGCGCTAATCAAGTTTCCATCTCATGCGGTAAATCTACTTCGCTACTCATTGAGAGGAACAATGTGAAGGGAAATAGAAAACGACACAAGTGTCTATTCCCTCTTAACATCAAGTCTTATGATACCAAACCTGAGTATGATACTCGACATGGTATTAAGCATGCTAAACAACACCATGTTGATGATGCGGCACGACCATCTAAGCGGGTTATGAAAAGGTGGGTTAAGAAGAGAATGTTACAGGGCCCTATTGATGGGAGGACTTGCAGCCACCATATGAAAGCACGAGTTCCAGTCATATTGGCAGATTACATGCCGAAGTGGTTCCATATTACTCCAACTAACCGAGGAATGAAGATGAAAATTCCTCTAATCAACCCATATGCTAGAGAAGAATGTGCCACAACACATTATACCACAATATGTGATGGAGGAAATATTCTTCAAGCTTCCTCAATGTGAATTGAAAACGCATCATATTCAAGACTCCCCGGCACGAGTCGAAACTGCCTCATATTCCTTCAAGACTCCCCGGCACGAGTCGAAACTGCCTCATATTACTTCAAGGCTCCCTAGCACGAGTCGAAACTGCCTCATATTCCTTCAAGACTCCCCGGTATGAGTAGAAACCGCCTCATATCCCACAGGGCTCCTTGGCACGAGTTCAAATGACCATATAGTTTCGAGACTTCCATGCACTACATACTTTCAAGCAGTGTATGCTCTCAAGTGGCATGTCCAAGAAAGTCTCGAGGGGGCAATTTGTAGACACATAAAATTTGAAGCCGACAAGTGGACCGATTAAATCATTATCAAGCCCAATTTCAGGGTTAATCATTAGTCCAATTTAATTATTAATTGGGCTATGATAGTTAAATTAATTTAATTAGTCCAAGTAAATTTGATTTGGGCTATTGAATTAATTAATTAATTGGTCCAAGCCCATTTCATAAGTGAATTATAATTATAATTATAATTTAAATATAATATAATTTTATTATATTTGAATTAGATAATTATAATTTAATTTGAATTTGAATTAGATGATAGAATAATGAACCTAGACTTGATTTTGGCAATGTTCATTTTAGTAGATAATTAATTAATTTAATTAAATAAATATTAGTGGAGTTTGTTGAGGGATTTTAGTTACAAACTTCACTATAAATAGAGCCTCAATTCCATTCTTCAAATCACACCTTAAATACATTGAGAACAACTTGAAGACTTGAGAGCTTGAAGTCATTGAAGAACGCTTGACAACTTGAAAGCTTGAAGATTTGAGAGCTCTTTTGAAGGCATTTGAAGATCTTGAAGAATTAAAGGCATTGAAGGCATTTTTTGCAGGTTTTAAAGATCTTGAAGCAACTTGAAGCCTTTTTAGTTGATTGCTTCAGAGCTTGACGTTTGTTGTTGGAGATCACACCGTTTGAAACCCGGAAGCTACGCCGTTTAAATCCCGGAGACACGCGCTATTTGAATCCCGGAGGCTACGCTATTTGAATCCTGGAGGCACTTCAATAGATAACGGCATTGAAGAACGCTTGAAGATTTGAACGCATTTTTTGTTGATTTTGCAGGCAATTTGAATCCATTGCATGGCCGATTATTTCTAAATTCTTGCCGCTCGTTGTTGGAAGCCACGCCACTTGAACCCCGGAAGCTACGTCGTTTGAATCCCGGAGGCACGCGCCATTTGAATCCCGGAGGCTACGCTATTTGAATCCCGGAGGCACTTCAGTAGACAACGTTAGTGAAGAATCAAAGGACTAGACAGAGATTTTGTACCTGCATTGAATTATACACACACTGTACAAGAAATTTTGTGAATATATATACAAAGTTTACATTTTTGTGTTTACAATGTGCGTGAGATTTGTACTCAATGTGCCTGAGATTTGTACTTAATGTGTGTCATATTAATATGCGTGAGTTTTGTACTTAATGTGTCTGAGTAGTGTGTTTAATGTGCATGAGATTTGTGATTAATGTGCGTGAGTATTTCAGAATTACGAGCTCAGAAGGAAGCAGAACAGAAACTCACGCACATTAACGCCCAAGCTTCTTGTTACTTCTTCCTTCAATTTGGCCATGGATTCTGGATTATCAGCTACCTTCAGTGCGGTTGAATGTTTATATAACTATAGGTGCAACTACTTATAACTATAGGTGCACTTTGTATTGATGCTCAGTGTAAATTTTTACTTGCACCTATAATACATTTTACATGCACTTGTAATACATTTTACTTGCACTTCGATGTTCAATTATTTACGATAATGTCACCGCGTTTTTTTTTTTTTAAAATCAATGTTTCTCATCCATTAGATCTGGACTCGTGGATGGACATAATCTATTCCTGTTTCGCGCCTGGGCGAAGCATTCGCATGTGAGTGCGATTCTCTCTCTCTTTCTCTCTCTCTCTCTCTCTCTATATATATATATATATATATATATATATATATATATATATATATATATATATATATACATACATATATACATATATACATATATATATATATATGTATGTATATATATATATATATATATATATATATATATATATATATATATATATATATATACATATATATATATATATATACATATATATATATATATATATATATATATATATGTATGTATATATATATATATATATATATATATATATATATATATATATATATATATATATATATATATATATATATATATATATATAGAGGGTTGCATTCACATGCAAACACCCTTAAAATACAAACTTATGGACAAATTGAGACCATAGGATTAAGGGCTTTGGGTGGCATGGATTGATCCAAGAATCATGTAGTATTTAGGATTTGATTTTTTAAAAAGGGGTAAAAAGGGGAAATCATGCAAAATTTAATATGGATAATATAATAAAAGATTTTCATGCAGCATTTTTGGTATTGTAATTAAGGTAGAATTCGACTACGCAACCGTGATTCCCTTCCCCACAAGCGATACATCCATCATCGATCAAACGTAGCGGTGAGGATTGAATAGAGAAGACTACATGGAGGCAAATTCTAGAGATATCAAGATGGGCATCCCAGGTATATTATACCAACGAACTAATTAAAGTGAATTTTTTTAAAAAGTTTGAATGATGCATACAGATTGGAATTGTAAGTGTGAATTCGATGTTGTTCGAATTGTGACCAAAAGTGAATGAATATGATCAGTTTACTACCCAAATTATTAGCAATAGATTATGAAGCATTCTGTACAGTATAGAATGTTTATATGGTACCCGTGCACATAGAAATTGGGCTATGTGCACACATGGCTGTCGTAAGTTTACGTGTTTGCGAAGACGCCAAACTAAAGCCATGGTACCGAGCTGATTCCCTTCTAAGAATAATGTAAAATGCATAGACCAAATGTATTTAGCATGCACACATCAATGCATACGCCAATGGGCGAATGCAATGCGAACTCTAATGCTCAGTAAAAATATACCCCATGCAAACACCTACAGGCGTCCGAGCACGCATGTGTGGCGTATGTAATGTGTTTGCACATTACAAGAATGGTGTGTGCACGAGTCAACTTGTATGTGCGACAACTACCGAGAAAGCATGTAATGTTCTTATAATAATGTTGAATTGGTTTACAGGTAATGAGCTCCCTGAAACTGCTGTACCGGGATGTGTAATGGACATATCCCAGATGGAGCCAAGAAGAAGAAAAAAGGGGAAAGGACGTGCCACACATACGACCTTCCGGGCCATGACAGCCGCAATTGTCCAGACAAAATAGCACCAATAGAAGATTAGACAACCATTGGTAAATAAAAGCAATGTAGTATCCTGTTTCAGAAGATTTAAAAATCGTATTTTAAGACCTAATCATTTGTTTATTATACTAACTAATAATTGATTAATTTGATGGCTACAGTTTGTGGTTTCTAATTTTGTATGAAAAGTCTTACACATAGATGTTGCAGTGAGCAATGGATGTGACAAACAAGCACACTTGCCAGGAAAATGGAGAAATAACACAGTGTTCTAAAACTGAAAGTATTAGTTTACTACATTATTTTCTTGTTTCTCCTTATCATCAAGAATACAAAATGAAGATAAATTCAATGTTCTAGTTGAGCGTTAAAAAGGGCACATATTAATTCATTGTTATTCCTGAAATGATGGAAACAATTGGTTATGGCTTCCATTCACATCCACCTTGTTCGTTGTGCACACAGAGGTACAGTACATGTGCACACACGTACGGAAAGGGCCAACTAGTGTGCACACATGAACTACCGGATGTTCCAATTACTATTAGAGAACTGATCATATAAATTGGATAATGTTGGTGGAATTGAACAAGTTAGGAATGCAATATATGCTATAGTGTTGGGGGAAATCAACGAGATAGGTGTGTGATATAGTTTATAATGTTGGCAAAGAATTGACCAATATAAATTCATAGATTTGCACTCAATAGCGATGCACACAATTACTAACTAGATGACTATACATTCTGGTTCATATCTAAAATCTGCTGGATAGATTTTTTTTTTTTTTTTTTGATAAATTCTGCTAGTACATGACTAACTAGATGGTTATACATTTTGGTTTGTACCTTTATGGCATGCTGTTACGAGCCAAAGAATATGACTACCACCTTGCACATAGTTTTATAACTCTCACGCACACAGGGATTGCTAAAGTGTTAAGGAAACGCAGGGATGTACCTTTTTAGCATGTTGTTACTTGTTACTAACTATACATTTTGGTTCGAATCTAAAATCTGCTGGACAGATTTTTTTTTTTTTTGATGAATTCAGCTAGTACATGACTAACTAGATGACTATACATTTGGGTTTGTACCTTTTTAGCATGCTGTTACGAGCCAATGAATATGACTACCACCTGCACACAGTTTTATAACTCTCACGCACATAGGGCTTGTTAAAGTGTTAACAAAACGCAGGGATGTAAGAACAGCCGGAATATGACTAATTGAGTAGCAATTAGGCCATTAAAATGCAAATACTTGCTAACATGCAGCCAAAAGTGGAATGCACACACCGAAACTAATATGTGCACCCACACACCCACGAATTCCAGTGGTACAGACCACAGAAACCATATGCACACAACTGCAACAATTAGAGCACACGTACCCACAGTGTTATACGCCAAGCCATCAACACACAGAAATAACGCCAACATAAATATTTAATGCCAGTAGTATCCCACATTGTGCAGTAAAAAATCAGTTCGACAAAAAAGAAATAAAAAAGTGGAATGACTAGTCTAGCCAACTACATGTAAGTTCATCCAAAAACAGCACCGTGGAAACTGCAAGTTCACATAGTAGGTAAAAGAGCATAGTCTGGTACGCCCGACATAGATTCCGTGATCTGTGCTCATTGAACTCCGACACTGATAGATCCTTTATATACTGCAGCCTAAGTTTGTGCAGCATACTTGTGTCCCCCTTCAAAAGACCGCAATCCCACTTTGAAACCCCCGGTCCAACATATGTCAACATTTGACGCATAAGAAACACCCCACAATGTTCTAAAATAATAATAATAATAATAATAATAATAATAATAATAATAATAATAATAATAATAATAATAATAATAATAATAATAATAAACACCCCACAATCTGTCTTATTCTTTGAATCCCGCCAAGACATTTGCATCCGCTTACCATCCACCCCAGCACAAATGATAGACCTCGACCTCGCAGGACAAATAACTTTAAAGAACCCGAATAGCATATCCTTTTACGTAACAAAAAAAAAATCAAAAGGAAAATTAAAAATAACAATAAACATATAGGGGGTGGGGGGGGGGGGGTGGGGGGGTGGAGGTCAAACGAAACGGAGACATATCACAAAATATACCATATCCTCCAGCGATTAACCGTATCTGTGGATCTTGGTAGTTGGATCAAATGAGTTATCTATAATCTCATAGCGAGACAGGCGAAAATCAAAACAAAGTAGTGGTCCCGCCGAATAATGGGGAAGAAAATCTGGAACCAGCAAAATAGAGTTAAAAACATAAATTAGTTTACACAGAATGAACGAGTACATAAGAGGTAATTGCACATCATAGACCATCATGCGCACACCCATTCTAACGCATCACGCCCAGAACACGATACACACTAAAAGGTAGAACAGACATTGAACAACCCATACAAAACTACATAAACTCCTAGCATGCACACAACATTGCACCCTGATGCACAAGACAGAATATAACCCATTAACTACGTACAAACAACCCATTTCAACGTGGGAAACAACAGGGACACACACGACAACAAGGACACCACCAACCATAGTCTAGCAACAACAGGTTCACAAGAGGAAAAATAAACAAACCACAAACAGATTCGGACACACAGAACTGGAAACTCCCACCCCTACTACCAATACCGAACAAAACAAAAGAGGGGGAAAAAAAAGGAACAGGAACACAAATTAGACAACAGAAAGCAAACAAAACCCCACCATAACAAAATATCTAATCACAATTTCATATAAATAGGTAAAAACACAAACCCTAGATATACAAATACCAACCCAAATCAGGAAAACCCATCAACCCCCACACAAATAGACGACAAAAATAGATGTACTAATACATACCCACAACAAGAAAACGACCACACACACACCCCACCGAAGAGCGCGGAAAAAAAAATGAAAACGCGAAAGGGGGAAAAAAATTACCTCTAACGCCACCACGACTATGTGGTCCCCGCCGCTTCCCTCTACTGCGGTCGCTACTGACATCCATCAAGCTTGAGGACAAAGACGACGGACAACAGAAGCCACATGACGCGAACCACGAACGGCGTCGGCACACCACGCTTCAGAAACGAGTAAAGGAGATAAAGAGAGATGCGTATAGTAATGCTACAAGATACTCGGGTGCGTGGGAGAATAGATCAGATCTGACTAGATCAATTAGTAGCAAAAGCCCAAAATTACCCCCCGCGTAATAATAAAAACTAACACAAGAATTAAAACAAGCAAAAAAAAAATAAAGAGATCGTGAGCGTCCAACCCACAAATCAAACGATCATAAACAGTCCACACGTTTTTATTTTAAGGGGTGTTTTTATCTGAATGTAATTCTATATATATATATAGAGAGAGAGAGAGAGTTAATCAACGATTTGGTCCCTCAATTAGTAACGAACTATCAATGTAGTCCCTCAATTGCTTATTCATCGATTTGGTCCCCAAAAATAATTATTTTTAGTTGATTTAGTCCCTCCGATCATCGACGGTATACATATATAAATACTTCAAAGTATATAAATGAAAAATTATATATATATATATATATATATATATATATATATATATATATATATATATATATATATATATATATATATATATATACTAATAAGAGCCCAAGAGAGTTAGGCCTATAATGGGTAGAAAAAATGGCGGTCACAGATTTTAATCAAATGAATGGCTCAGATTGATTGAAAGATTAATCAGATTTAAATTTTACAGTAAAATTTCCTAAAATACCCACACATCGTTACTAATTCCATTAAAATTTTAAGAATTGCCGTTAGTTCACCGTTAAGTTATTCATTGATTTCAATAGAAAAAGGTCTTAGGTTCGAACCTCATCCCAATCAAAGTTGGCATAATTAGTACTTTATTTTACTCTTATTAAATTATATAAATAGTAATTTAGTAGTTACAACAAAAAATAATACATATGCATTTCTTTAATTTATAATTATGTGTCCACAATGCCTTTATTCAAAAAAAAAAATATTCATTATCAATAAATTAAATAAGAGAAATAATTTTATTAGTTATATTGTCTTTATTTTTTTTCAATATAAAAATTCTTTATATTCAAATTTATTAATTGATTATATTCGCTACATTATCCTTACAATGTCTTTATTCGGTGAAAAAAAAATTATTAATTATCAATAAATTAATTAAAAGAAATATTTTCATTAGTTATATTGTCTTTATTTTTCTCAAATGTAAAGTTTTTACATCTCAAATTCATCAATTGATTATATTCATTACATTATCTATTATCTTTTTTTGTGCACTGTTTTTCTAATTAAATATCAAAGTTATAATACAAAATAATGCTATATATTTATTTACCAAGTATTTTATTAATACCATGAAAAAATTAAAAAATATAATTAATAAAGCCAACCATATTAACTACTTGAGAGATTTTGTGACAAAGAGAGTATTCAAATCACACAACAAATTGAAGTGAGAACTACCTCGCAATGTCCTTGTTTGACAATCAGCAGTTAGCGGTTAGCGTTAACGGATTATACTAGCGGATTTGACCAGCGAATTTAAATCAAATGAATGGTTCATATTGTTCAGGTTTTAATTTTTTTTCTTTTAAGATTTTCTAATTATCCTTAATTATATGATTATCCATTTAATTTTTCCGTTAATTCACCCTTAGTCTAATTCTAATATTAAAATCTAATATAGAATTATAACTACACCATTAATCTAATTCTAATATTAAAGTCTTAATAGAACTTAACCACAAATCCTAATGTCGTAATCTTCTGAAACAATATTAGTATATATTTAATATTTTATGCCCTAATTTTTATTTGTTCTCCCTTATGTCGCGTATTTGGTTTCAACCACACCTATACAATTATTTTATTGACAATTATAATCAATCTTGACTATATTATCTTGCATTTGTAAACTTAGAATTACCTATTTAACCCGCACAAGCTTAGCTCAATGGTTTAGTGGGTAGTATTTGGGAGAAGAGACCAAGGTTTGAACCTCGGCGGCGGCAGTGCGGGAATTATGTCCAAAGTGGGCAGATTCCTTGTGCGTATCAGCATTTGACCCTGTCTGCTAAACCATTGAGTCACCGGTGATTTACAACTTCCCACAATGCTCTGTCGGGCCGGAGTGTGGGGGGGGGGGGGGGGGGGGGCCTTGGGGTTGGGGACTCACCCTTTGGGAGAAGAATTACCTATTTAAATATGCAAATTCAACCTTCAATTATCTATGCATGAACAATTTCAATATAATCCTGTCTTCATATACTTTAAAGTTCTTATTTAAAAAAAAAAGTATTGGGCATTATCCCAATCGCGCAATGCGCGTAAAAAACTAGTATATATATATATATATATATATATATATATATATATATATATATATATATATATATGAAAAATTTATTATAGTTAGCTTTAAAATTAATGTTTAATTTGCACTTTTTTAAAAATAATTGTTTAAATAACTAATTTTCTAACTTTTTAGACAATTGGATGACGACATTAAAAAAAAAAAAAAAAGTCATGTACAAAACGTCAACAATTGAAGGACCAAAATTCTACCTATTCCTCGATTTATTATTTTTGGATACGAAAATGGTGATTAGATATATTTTTGGATGCTTGTGGTGGTAGCTCAATTGGTTCTTGTGTGACAATGGACAAGGATGCAGGATTAAGCTCTAACAATCGTAATGTGAGAGTTTCACCTTTTGTAAGTGTGACTTTGTTTTGGACACCAGACACTTGTCTTTTTATTTAATGTGTGATGAATCACTATAATTTATTTCTTTACAATTTTGTTATGCCAATGTTTGGAGGCACTTAGAGCAGGGATTTCGCCTTTGTGGGTAAGGTGGGTTAATGAATTAACATGGGGAGAAAGTAGTTAAAGCGGCATGTAATAAATGCGGACGCCATATGATATGCCTGTTCAAAAATAGTGTCGATGCAGAAAAAGAAAACCAAATTTCCATTATATAACAAAACTTTGATCAACGTAGTTATCAATCTCCAGCTTTACCGATCCTTAATTAATAAAGTGCTTCCTTCTCAGCTCTCATCTGATCTTCTTCAATTCCTTATTTGTGAGTAATAGCTTTTTCCAGTTTAATGGAGAGAGAAATCGAAACTGAGCAAAACAAGAGTCAGAAAGTGGAAGAGGCAGAAAATGCAGGATTTAGTGAGCTAGAGAGGAACAAAATTCAGCTCATGAAAGCTCTTCTTAATAAACAAGATCCATCTTTTGTGGTATATTTATATATGAACTTCTCACTATTTTATTTTATTTATTTATTTATTTATTTATTATTATTATTATTATTATTATTATTATTATTATTATTATTATTATTATTATTAGAGTTAATTCCACCATAGATCCCCTTGCCTTTGGTGACAATTTCAAATTTAATTTCAGACTATCGTTTTGGTCATTTAACATCTCAGACTATTATTTTTTGGACATTTTTAGTCCTTCTCATGACTTTTCCAAATTTTAGTAAGGACATTTTTGTTTCTTCATATTTCTTTTGTAATTTTTCTTGTTTCAACCGATTTAATTGGTTTAGGACTTTACTAAAAACCGGTTGAAAAATATGGTTACCAAAAATCAGAGGTTACATGAAGTTCTAAACCAATTAAACCGGTTAAAACTGAAAAAATAACAAAAGAAAAATATGAAAAGACAAAAATATCCCTATTAAAAATAGGAAAAGTCATGAGAAGTACTAAAAATGTCCAAAAATAATAGTCTAAGATGTTAAATGACAAAAACGATAGTTTGGGACTAAATTTGAAATTGTTACCAAAGATAAGGGACCTTTGGTGGAATTAACTCTTATTATTATTATTATTATTATTATTATTATTATTATTATTATTATTATTATTATTATTATCATTATCATTATTATATGAAGTTAAGTTTTCTTTAATATTTTTAAACCGAAAAATAAAAAAGAAGCGTTTTGATAGACAACTTCTAGTTGGCAAAAGGGGGATGCTTTCAACTTTAAAACAAAAGATTGGCACAAGTGTCAAATAGGCCCATTTACTACTGCGAAGTGCTCAATTTTCACCACGAACTAAATTAAATGTCAAATAGGTCCATCTACGAGTTAAATTTGTTCAATTGACTTTTTTTACAGGTTAATAACAGGTTACCTATTTAATTATTAAAATAAATAAAATAAAATAAAATAAAAAAGAATACAGCCACCGGCTGTCCTCGCCGGACAGCCGGTGGCTGCCATTTCAAAGACAGTCGTGGCTGTCCGGTTGTGACAGCCGGTGGCTGTATTCTTTATTATTATTTTTTTTTTTTTTTAATAATTTTTTAAATTATTTTGAAATTATTTTTTTAATAATTGAATTGGTAACCTGCAAAAAAAATTCAATTACCTGAAAAAAAAAAGCTAATTGAACAAATTTAGTAGGTAAGTGTGGTTAATTAGCCTTTAATTTAGTTCATAGTGGAAATTGAGCACTTGACAATAGTACATGGGCCTATTTGACACTTCTCCCTAAAAGATTCAATCTTTATTTCATATATTTAAGAACTAGAAACGTATTTCATCCATTTTCAGAAAATCTTTAGTCCCCTTTCATGACATGAATTATTGTCACGATTGGTTGCAATTGATGTAAAATGATTATAATAGTATTGTTATATAACATTGAAATAATAATAATTTTTTTTGAATAAGAAAAATAAGAATAATCTTTAGAATAAGTCTTGTTTGAGATTTGTAATATATTTTAGTTAAAATGTACGGAGTAATACTTTTTATAGGTCCATAGAAAAATAATTTTCTCATACTTTTGTATGTTTGATAATACGTTTGTTGTTGTTGTTGTGTGGTAGGAAGTTGATGACTACACAATGAGAAGGTTTCTTCGGGCACGTAATCTAGACATAGAAAAAGCTTCAATTATGTTGTTAAAATACCTTAAATGGAGGCATACATTTGTGCCAAAAGGTTATATTTCTCCATCGGAAGTTCCAAACGAGATAACTCAAAATAAGGTATTTGTACAAGGAGTGGATAAACAAGGACGCCCTATTGCCGTCGTGTTTGGTGGTAGACATCTACAAATCAAAGATGGCTTTGAAGAACTCAAACGTAAGTCCATTATATTTTTCTTTCCTCTAATAATATGTTACTGAAAATAAGAGTAAGTGTGTCCTAATACATTGGTGTAATGGATGAGAAGTTTTATTTAAACTTGCTTTTAGCGTCACGAAAATTGAGGGTTTGACTCCTTATGCGCAGAAACTAGCTAGATTAGCGGATGAGAACTGTATGAATAGTATTGATGAGATAATTACAAAGATACAGATTACAGGTATATATACAATGAGAGATCACATGGACACTAGGATAGAGAGTCATAATCTAACTCAAATACATAGAGTCTTAATACTACCTCCCTCTCAAACACAGGGTAAACTAGTAACATGTAGCTTGTCCCTTAAAGAAGAAAAAAAAAATTAGCACCAGGCAGAACCTTAGTAAAAATATCAGCAAGTTGATCTTTGGTTGAAAGAAAATTGACTTGAATATCTCTAGAAGCAACTCTATCTCTAACAAAATGATAATCAATCTCCACATATTTGGTATGAGCATGGAAAATCGGATTTGCAGATTAGAGAAAGTCTTTCATTCAGTTCTAACAGAAACCAATTACAAAAGATAATAATACGATACAACTCTAACAACTCCTATCAAATAGACTAACCTAGTGAACTGATTATACACCACACAATTATACATTACAATATAATAATAAAGTAACGCTAGCATGTAACATAATAATAATACTATTCACACACCCCCTCAAGCGCAAGGTTGATGCGCCAAAACATTGAACTTGTCCCGTAGCAGAACAAACCTCGGACCCGGTAGCGGTTTGGTGAAGATATCCGCTAGCTGATCATTAGTAGAGACAAAATTAACAAGAAAGTCCCCGGCAGCCACCTTGTCACGGACGAAATGGAAATCAATTTCTACGTGCTTAGTCCGAGCATGAAACACCGGATTGGCACACAGATAGGTAGCCCCAAGATTGTCACACCATAAAGTCGCCGGTTATCTGGAGTGTAACCCAAGCTCTCGGAGCAGCGAGACGACCCACGTTACCTCAGCAGACACATCAGCTAGAGCTTTGTACTCAGCTTCAGTAGACGACCTAGCCACAGTACGCTGTTTCCTGGACAGCCAAGAAATTAAGTTCGAACCCAAGTAAACAGCATAACCACTGGTAAACCATCTTCCTGTCAATGGGACAATCCTCCCAGTCAGAGTCTGAGAACGCATGGATTGCAGCAGAAGATGAAGGTTCCAATCGTAAACCATAATCGATAGTACCCTTAATGTAGCGTAACACACGCTTAACCAAGCCCCAGTGATCCACAGTCGGTGCATGCATAAACTGACATAAGCGGTTCACCGCAAAAGACAAATCCAGACGGGTAATAGTCAAGTATTGGAGAGCCCCTACGATGCGTCGATATTGCGTTGGATTGTCAAATAGCTCATCAGAAGGAGTTACTGGCTGAGTGACGGCAGCGGGTGTGGCAAGCGGCTTGCAGTCCACTATCCCATAACGACCAAGGAGATCAGTCATGTACCGCTTCTGTGATAGAATAACACCTGATCCAGCCGGAATGGTCTCAATACCTAAGAAAAAACTCGGTGTGCCCAGATCACGAATTTTGAAGGCAGTGGACAGGCGTTGCAACATAGAGGAAACCAGGGTTGAATCCGTACCCATCATGATGATATCGTCAACATAAACGAGCATAAAAACTCTGGACCCTCCTGAAGAGTAATAGAAGAGTGACACATCTGTTTTCGAAGCACAAAACCCAAGAGAAAGTAAGAAATCATGGAGTTGCTTAAACCAGGCACGGAGAGCCTGTTTCAGACCATATAGAGACCGTTGTATGTGACAGACGTGTTCCGGATAAGTCGGGTTTTCATAACCTGGAGGTTGCTTCATATACACAGTTTCTTCCAGATGGCCATTTAGGAAGGCATTGTGGACGTCCAACCGACGTAATGTCCACCCATTGGACATAGCAAGAGAAAACAGCATGCGGACGGTTGTTGGTTTTACAACCGGACTGTACGTGTCAAAGAAATCCTCCCCTGCTACTTGATTAAACCCTTTGGCAACTAACCGGGCTTTGTATCGTTCAACCGAGCCATCAGCTGTGCATTTGGTCCTAAAAAACCATTTACACCCTATGATGTTCATGTGGGGTTGTGGTGGGACCAAGCGCTACGTGTGATTGTGTAATAAGGCGTTGAACTCCATATCCATGGCCTCACGCCACTGCGGGTGTCCCACTGCTTGGGAATAGCACGTGGGGTCTGTAGTTACAGTTAGAGCCTGCAAGGGCTCATTAGTACCCCGAGTCATGTGGCGAAGCCGCATAACATGCCCTCGTTCCTGAGGCCGGGCACGGACCCTTCTAGGGCGGCCCCTGACTCCCCTGGTTGCGTGTCGCTCTTCAATTGCCAAGGGTGGCGTTTCACATGCTAGAGGTGTGGGTTCAGGCCCAGGGTCCGGTGGGTTTGGGCCTGGAACTATCACTGTCGGAGATAGACGAGGCACAATAGGCCCAGCAGCCCAAGGTACAGATGCTGACGTAGAGACTGTATTCGGAGTTCCTGTAGAAAATGGAAAAACAGACTCGTCAAATCGGACATGACGACAGACATAGGTTTTTCCACTTATTGGATCAACACATCTGTATCCCCTAAAGGACAACGGGTAACCTAAGAAGACACATGGTGCTGAACGGTACTCTATCTTGTGCCGATTGTAAGGGCGACGATAGGGATAGCACCAACAGCTGAAGACTCGTAGAAACATGTATGGAGGTTGTGTTTCGTAGACACGAAAATAAGGACTTTCAAAGTTGATTGCCGAGGATGGCAGATAATTGATTAAACAAGTCGCCGTTTCAAAGGCGTAGTCCCAGTATTGGACGGGTACATTGCCTTCGGCGAGTAAAGCGAGAAACAATATGCCTGTTACGACGTTCTACTCGGCCATTTTGTTCATGTGTGTATGCACATGATTGACGGTGGTTTATGCCCAGTGTTTGGAATATATTATGTAACTTACGATACTCACCCCCCAAATCCGATTGGATAGATTTGATAGAACGCGAAAATTGGCGGTGTACCAACACATGGAACGACTCAAACAATTTATAGATGTCTGATTTTACCCGTAATGGATAAAACCAGCAAAACCTGGAGTAGTCATCTACAAATAATAGGAAATAGCGATAACCAGTACTAGAGATTACAGGTGCAGGTCCCCAAATATCAGTAAATAATAAATCTAGTACATTTGAGCTAGAATTCGGAACCCTATCTAATTTCAAGCGCGATGACTTTCCAAGGTGGCATGCGACACATGATTCTTTTGGCTTGGTTTTATTTGACGTGACCGGACATGTCTGCAACACTTTATTTAACACGACATTATGCGGGTGGCCCAGCCTGTTGTGCCAGATAGTGGGAGTAGCCCGGGAACTGACGAACGCAAAATGAGACTGATCCACCGGGAGTTTGTACAAGCCACCCGCCGTGCAACCCTTAATGAGAACCGCCTTGGTTTGAGAGTCCTTCACAAAAAAGCAATTACTGTGAAATTCAAAGAACACTTTATTCTCATTGGTAAACTTGTGAACAAACAATAACGGAACTGACAGATTTGGCACACGTAATATATTGGATAAATTTAAAGGGTGAGATTTGGATGGGATTGATGCGTGACCAATACGTGAAATCACCAAACCTGCGCCATTACCGACTCGTAGCACATCCGGCCCGCCATACTCCTCGGATTGGACCATCATGCTAGCATCGGGCGTGGCATGTGCTGTGGCCCCAGTATTCGGGTACCATCCATCCATTGGTGCGGACGTAGACGCCGACGGCGCTTCACCGGAGACAGCCATGTGAGCCTGCGCCGGCGGTTGTGTAGTGTACCTTTTAAAACAATACACGGCCGTGTGGCTGTGGGAGCGGAAAATTTGACACCGCGGGTTGCCACGACCACCTCGTCCGCCACGATTTTGACCACCTCGCCCATTGCGCACGCCTCGCCAATTCTGACCGTGAGACTACCGGCCTCCATCATATTGCGCTCCGCGACCCCGGCTTGCGTACATGGCTGTCGGAGAAGCCACCATCTCTCCCGTGGGATAATCATCAACCAGAATAAATTCGTTTGCCTGCAAAAAATTGGAGAGATGGGATAGCGTGACTGGATTGCCGGAGGCGGTGATGGATGCTGCCATCGCCTTGAGTTCCGTCCAGAGACCTCGGAACACGTACAGATTCTGTTCAATTAGCGAGAGTGGTCTGCCGGCTTGCACTAAGGATTCAACCAAAAATTCCGCACGCCCCAAGTACTCTGTAGTGGTGGAATTACCTTGCCGCAAAGCCTGGAATTGGCCAAGCAAATTTAGGCAACTTGCCTGACTGGACGAACCGAGGGCAGTCGAGATGGACGCCCAGACCTGCGTGGATGTCTCTCGCCCGAGCGCCAGGTGTATGACTTCGTCAGCCATGGAGGAGATGAGCAGCGACAAAAGGGACTGGTCTTGCTGTACCCATGCCTTGTACGCTGGGTTTGGTTAGGAGACGTCGGCGGGAGCGCACATCGATGACTCGCCGGAAGTAGGAGTGACGGCGACGATCTCCGGAGGACACGGAATGCTGCCGTCGATGTACCCCAACAGATCTTGTCCTCACAGAAACGGAATTAATTGGGCTCGCCAAAATAAAAAATTCATGTTCGTCAGTTTCATGGATATGTAGTGATGGGCACCTGCGAGTGGGCACATGTATGTAGCACAAAGATAGTCACACCATAATTTGGGAATAGAAATATTGGCAACATTAATCTCATGCAAAAATGATAAAATCCAGATTACCTCAGCATAGACATCTGCTAGAGCTTTATACTTAGCCTCAGTAGAAGATCTAGCAACAGTTCTTTGTTTCTTACAAACCCAAGATACAAGATTAGATCCAAGAAACACAGCATAACCACTAGTTGACTTAAGGTCTTTAGGACAGCCAGCACAATCAGAATAAGAAAAAGCATGCAAATCTCTAGACACTGACTTCTTTATACACAGATCATAAGTAATAGTTCCCTTAACATACCTCAATACTCGTTTTAGTTGTTCCCAATGTGAAATTCTAGGAGCATGCATATGTTGACAAAGTTGATTGACTGCAAAGGACAGGTCTGGGCGTGTGACCGTGAGGTACTGTAGTGCCCTGACTAAACTCCTGTACTAAGTAGGATCATCATACAAATATGCACTAAAAGGAACAGATTTCGAGACAGGAATAGGAGTAGCTAGAGATTTACAGTCTGTCATACCAGCACGTTTTTTAAAAAATCTTTCATGTATCTCTACTGGGAAAGTAACATCCCATCATCACCGTGAGGTACTGTAGTGCCCCACCTAATCTTAAATGTAGTGGATAATTTTGTTAGTAGCACATTCACTAGATTCTGATCACTCCCCATCACAAGTATATCATCAACATAAACCAATATATACACAAAGGCAGAATCCTGTGAATAATGAAATAATGACACATCCGTCTTTGAAGCTTTAAACCCAACTGACAGCAGAAACTTGTGTAGGTGATTAAACTAAGCTCTAGGAGTTTAATCCATACAAAGAATATTTTAAAAGACAAACATGATCATGGACTTGTGTATCAAATAACCAGGTGGCTGACGCATATAGACAGTTTAATTATAATTCCCATTTAAAATCACATTATGAACATCAAGTTTTCTAATGATCCAACCAGAAGATAAAGCCAACGATAAAAGTAACCTGACAGTAGTGGGTTTTACCACCGGGTTGAATATATCGAAGAAGTCTTGTCCAGGTACTTGATTGAACCCTTTAGCTACTAATCTGGCCTTGTGCTTCTCAATCGAACCATCAACCTTCCTTTAAGTACGAAAGACCCATTACACCCAATAACATTCATATCTGACTGAGAAGGAACTAGGCACCATGTCTGATTCTGAAGAAGTGCATTGAACTATTGATCCATTGCCTCACGCCATTCCAGATACTTAACTATCTATGTATAACAAGTGGGTTCAGTAGGGCAAACCTGTGTCGTCAGAACCATATGAGGAGCTTGGGACTAACTCCGAGTGGCCATGGCGTGAGTGCGTGTGGTAGGCTTAGTAGACCGCCAACGTGGACGGCCACGGGGCCGTGCAGTGGCTACCGCCGATGTAGCTGGAGGCTGCTGTACGGACTGGTCTAGTATGACAACCACATCACTGGTGGGGCGAAGAACAAATTCGGCCCATGGGAGAGTTTACGTAGCCGGAGGTGCCTGCAAAATATTCTTAGTAGCAAAAGGGAAAATCGCCTCATCAAACCGAACATGCCTGCACACATATATCTTATTAGTCTGTAAGTCCATGCACCTATATCCCCGAAAAGAGTCAGGATAACCTAAGAAGACACAAGGAAACGATCTGTAGGACATTTTGTGACGATTGTATGGGCTTAAATGAGGATAACATAGACAACCAAATACACGAAGAAAGGAATAGGATAGAGGGGACTTATGCAGTATAAGAACACGCTTAACTATGTAATATAAGTAGTAGTTCTATTCTTTTTGGATTTTTGGGTATGTGTATGAATATAAAGAACAAGATAGTGGGGTATGCCTTCTCGGCTTGTAAACTAGCTTCTCACTAGTTTACTTAGATTGAATGCTTCTCACAAACAACCTAAACACTCATTGCAATTCTCATGCAAAGAAAAAGAGAGAAAATCTCATTTCATTTCAAAAATTACAAGCTGATTTGAACCATTGGGTGATGGGGTTTTTATAGGAAAAATCAGGGATTTAAAAATATAAAATATTCTAGGTTTCATTCCCTAACTATGAAGTAAATAATTAAAAATTACAAGTTGCAAAATAAACCTCCCCTCCCCCTTTTTTGCATATGAAATCTGATTGTTGTATGTTGATTTTTCTTCAAAACTTTGCTATCTTTCACATGGGTTTGTCATAAGCATTTAATGCTTTGTCTCCTTGAGTAAGCTAGTTGCTTGAGATGCTTGCTTGAGCTACTTGGTTGATGACAAGCAAGGAGGTGAGGGAGCAGCTAGGTAGTGAAGAAGTTTCACAAACAAGTAGGTGAATCACTAAGCAAGTAGGTGAATCATCAAGCTAGTAGGTGAATCACACTCCTTAAGCTAGTAGCTCTCTTCAAAAGTCTTGATGTGAAGGCAATTGAATAGAATTGTTTCTCTAGATTGATCTCCTTCTTCATAAAAAGCTGTTGTATTCCAATTTGCTTGCACAAAAGTGTTAAATGCCTCTTGAATCTTTTTTGACTTGGAACTTGTTGTTGGGCCACTAGAGACTTTCATGAGATCATTTGCTTGTTGTCTTTGGGTCTCATCCTCCTCCCCCTCTTGAAAAAGATTCGTCCCCGAATATGAAAATTCAAATGGAGATAAATCAGCAACTTTGAAGGTAGAAGAAACATTATGCTCACCTCGAAGATCTAATTTGTATGCATTGTCATTGATTCTTTCAAGCACTTTGAAAGGTCTATCTCCTCGAGGCATCAACTTGGACTTGCACTGGTTTGGAAACCTATTTTTGTTGTAGTGTATCCAAAGCCAATCTCCGGGTTTAAAAATTGTAGCCTTGCGTCCTTTGTTGGCCTTTTGAGCGTATTGCTCATTTTTCTTTTCAATTTGAGCTCGAACCTTGGAGTGAAAGTTACGAATCCCTTGAGATATCTTAACAGCATCCACATTCTATTAAGTGTCATAGTATATCATTTCTGTAGTAGTGACACATTCCCTATCATTCATATGTAAGGGAATCAAATCTAAGGGAGTTAATGGATTAAACCATAAGCAACCTCAAATGGTGACATGTTTGTAGTGGAATGTATAGCTCAGTTATAAGCAAACTCCACATATGGTAAGCTTTCTTCCCATGACTTTA